CTCCCTTCTGTCATGTCATTCAAGTATACCAGAAATAGCACTGGTCCTAGGACTGAGCCCTGTGGAACTCTGCTCGTCAAGGCGCCCACTCTGACACCTCGTCACCTACCATGACTCGTTGTTGCTTCCTTGTCAGATGTTCTCTAATACACTGCAGTGCTTTTCCTGTTATGATTGCCTGATCTTCTAACTTTTACACTAATCTCTTGTGAGGAACTGTGTCAAAGGCCTCTTTGCACTCCAAGAAAATGCAATCTACCCACCCCTCTCTCTCGTGATTACTTCCGTTACCTTGTCAAACAACTCGAGTAGGTTTGTAACACAGGATTTTCCTTCCCTGAATCTGTGCTGGTTGTCTTTTATAAGCTTGTTCCGTTCTAGGTGCTCCACCACTGTTCTCCTGATAATCTTCTCCATGACTTTGCATACTGTACACGTCAGTGACACTGGTCTGTAGTTTAGTGACTCGTGTTTGTCTCCTTTCTTAAAAATGGGGACTACATTTGCCATTTTCTATACCTCAGGTAGTTGCCCAGTTTCAATGGATGTGTTGAAAAAAATGTTGTTATTGACACACACAGTGTCTCTGCTCCCTCTTTAAGGACCCACAGACAGATGTCGCCTTTGAGGTATAAAGTTCACTTAGCAGCTTCTTCACCTCCTCCTTGTGAAATTTTCAATACTTCCTCTCAGTTTTTACCCAGGAAGATACTAGCGAAATTCCAGAAATAATAAATTATATAGAGCAGAGCAGGACGATAATAAACTATGCACGATTGGGGTAACTAGTGACATGGTCCTCAGACAAATAGAGAAATTAAAACCTAACAAATCCCCAGGCCCTGATGAATTGTTTGCCAGAGCTTTAAAGGGATGTAAAGAGTAACTTAGCAAACCTTTGGCTAATCTTTTCAACGTATCACTATAAACTGGCAAAGTGCCAGATAAGTGGAAAATGGCAGATGTAATGCCTATTTACAAGGCAAGTGGCAGGTTCTTAGCTTCGTACTATAGAGCAATAAGCCTTACCTCCACAAAGGGAAAAATTATGGAAGCAATAATTGCCTAAGCAATTCATAGCCATCTTGAAAGGCATAAATTGATTAAGAACATAAGAACATTAGAAAGAAGGAACACTGCAACAGGCCTACTGACCCATGCAAAGCAGGTCCATGCCACCCCCCGGCCTAGAACAATGACCAACTAGTCAGATCACTTCCACTTAAGGAAGGAGCACGGCACTAGCCCTGGTAGCCCAAGCTAGTCAGGTCTAACTCACACCCACCCACACCCACTCATGTATTTATCCAACCTATTTTTAAAACTACACAACGTCTTAGTGTCTGTGACGGTAGTCGGGAGTTTGTTCCACTCATCCACAACTCTATTACCAAATCAGTGCTTTCCTATATCCTTCCTGAATCTGAAGTTTTCCACCTTGAAACCATTGCTGCGAGTCCTTTCTTGGCTGGATATTTTCAGCACGCTATTTACATCCCCTTGATTTATTACTGTTTTCCATTTATACACCTCAGTCATATCCTCCCTAATTCTACGCTTTTCTCAACACGGTTTTACAAAGGGCGTCCCTGTCTTACGAATTTACTAACTTTTTTCACTAAGGTATTTGAGGAGGTAGAGCATGGTATTGAATATGATATTGTGTATATGGACTTCAGTAAGGCTTTCGATAGAGTTCCACATCAGAAGCTATTGAGGAAACTTAAGGGACACGGAATAGGAGGAGAAATTTTTTCCTGGGTAGAGGCATGGTTAACAAATAGGCAGTAGAGAGTTTGTATGAATGGGGAGAAATAAGAATGAGGGCACGTCACAAGCGGTGTTCTGCAGGGGTCAGTGTTGGGCCCCTTGTTGTTCACAATTACATAAATGACATAGATAAGGGAATAAATAGCGACATAAGCAAATTTGCTGATGACACCAAAATAGGCAGTCCAGTTCATTCTAATGAGGACATTAGAGCACTTCAGAATGATTTGAATAGACTGATGTAATGGTCTGATGCAATACGTCCCTACACCTTCGGGTAAATCAAGGGCTCATCCTGGTCTTACCATTATTTCTATTGCCCTTCGGAACAAACCTTACCTCTGCCTCCTTGCATTTTGTTGTCACATAGTCCATCATTTCGTTTAGCTGCAGTGCTCCTTCTTTCTTACGTTATTATTGTGTGTGTTTGTGTGTGTTTGTGTGTGTGTGTGTGTGTGTGTGTGTGTGTGTGTGTGTGTGTGTGTGTGTGTGTGTGTGTGTGTGTGTGTGTGTGTGTGTGTGTGTGTGTGTGTGTGACCCCCGAGCCTCTTTTAAGTTTTGTCATATATATTACTATTGCACTCCGATGAATTCACAGGCTAGATATTAACCCGCCTCGGATCATTTTAAGTCCCAGCCCCATATAAAGTACACAAACGTTCCCAAGGATACCATCTACATCGGCTACTTATGTGCTTAAAGAAGGGCAGCATAAGTAAGGTGACTTGCC